CATTTAGTTTTTAATTTTTAATTTTTTATTATTATTATTTTTGTTTTTTTTTTTATATTTTTGTTTTTATATTTTTTTTCTTATTTTTTTTTATTATTATTATTTTTGTTTTTTTTTATATTTTGGGTTTTATATTTTTTTCTTATTTTTTATTATTATTTTTTTTATTTTGTTTTTTATTTTATTTTTTATTATTTTTTTTTATTATTTTTTTATTATTTTTTTATTATTTTGTTTTTTATTTTATTTTTTATTATTTTTTTTCATTTTTTTTATTATTTTTATTATTTATTTATTTATTTATTTATATTTTATTTTAATGCTTTTATTATATTTATAATAAATTAGCATTTCAAAAAAATTGTGAATAAACATATTAATATTTTTTAGATAAATTCTATTTTTTTTTAATATATATATATATATATATATATATGATATTCGGCTAGGGCGGAAATATTTAATTTATTTTAATTTTTACCCACCTGCGCACTATACCAAATCCCGGCGGCCATCTAATCGTAGCATAATTCAAACCCCGAAAAAATTCTAAAGACCGACAATGCGCCTCTAATGCCACTTTTCTGTTACTCATCTTTATTAGCTATCGATAGAGCCAAGAAGCATAGAAATACAATCAGTAGAAGTCGAGAAAAGTAGAATTATATGAATTTTATTTTTTGATAAAATATTGATTTCTCAAAAAAAAAATAACAAAAAAATAACATTATAAATGCCGACTGAAACCGACATTATTTATTTATTTATTTTTTGGTATCTTGCGTGCCCTTTAACCGAGGCGACAGATTGTTTAAATAATCTCAATTACAAGAGGTATATATATATATTTGATATTCTTTATATTTTCTGTTGAGAGGTTGAAAAGCTGTAAAAAATATTTTCAATGCAGTCATTGGTGCAACGATTCCGGTTGAGGAATGAGGACAGGGGTTTTTTTTCAAGCAGAATAAACAAAAATAATACTCTTATTTATTTATTTATTTATTTATTTATTTTATTTTTCTTCTGTGTGCATCTCTTTCAATAACCATACATATTCACATTAACTTGCCATGAAAGTTACATTTGAAATTACTACAATCATACACAGGCGCACATGTACGCACACACATATTTTACCGAAAACATCTCCAGAAATATATTATATTTGTTAAAAGCGCAACCTTTCCCCAAGACCACGAGCAAGTTTTGATATGTACCAACTAGAAAAAAATTACTCGCATTCTCTTTGTATGATAAAGCCACATTATTATCATTTTTTTATTTTATATATTTTTTAGGCTCCCTGTAGTATATATCGGCAAAAATAGGGATAATCGATATATATATATATTTGAAATGGTAAATAATAAGAAGAGTAGGCGTGTGCAGTGATGGTAACTAATTTTCGTTTGTCGGTATATACCTTGATCGAAAAATATACTTTTACTGTAAAGGTTTAATACTCATGAGAAAAAGATGGTAAGGATAGCGTCTGTACTTATGGCTATTGTAGAAAGCATATGTACAAAAGAAAAGCTTCCATTTCATGTTAAATCGAGTAATGATAAAGGTGCGTTACATACCAGAAACGAAAGCCAATTTATTGGTGGGGCAAGTTTTTGTTTACAAATAAAGGGCTTTTATACATTATATACGCTTGGGATAATTCACGGTGATTACAATGGTTCAAAAAATAAGACAGAATATTCTTAACTAATATGAATTTTTATTGTGAAAAGAGTTTATTTTGAGTGATAATAGTATCTGTGATGGCACAATAAGTCAAACTTGTTTTGTAAAGAACTTAAGGATAAGTAGTTTCACCACAGAAAGTCAACCGGCTTTTTTTTTAAAAAGGAAGAGAACTAGAAAATCATAAAATTACAAGGTAAAGTATAGGACTTTTCTACCCCAGGGAAAATATGTATGAACAGACAGTACGTATCGCAAGAGAGGTAGACGATTGGCTTATCCCCTGTATGACATGGCTCAATAAATAAATAAATAAATAATATTTAAATTTTGAGCCACAACAATTAAACGATGCTTTTCCCCATTTTGATTCTTTGTGTAGATAGAATTTTGAACGATTACAAAAGAGTAATAAAAATAAATAAGTTATACAACAATGGTAATGTATTTTAAGAGTTAAAAACCATTTACTTCATGGACGCCAAAGTGAGGATCGATAAGTCCCAAATATTTTCTCTCATTCGCGTTCATTGTCAGCTAAATTACCTTGGCCTCATCCCGCACATCAAAGGTATCAACCATTTTTTATTCTCATTATTGTTATTCTATACTTCATCTGTATCCTTCATCACGCGTTTCTTCACTCTGCACAAGAGTCAATGTATTTTGTTTGATGTTAAAAAATTATCTGTTTCTATAGGTGTTTCTATGTGTTCTCTAACCCTTTTTTAGGAATCAGAGATCTATTGCACTGAATTTAAAAAGAAAGAAAGAAAGAAAGAATGAAATAGAAATTGGGTTGTCTAAAATTGCACTCAACTCAAATTAAATCTTGGTACAGCTGGCGTTTATGTGCGTGAATGAGCAATATAGAAGAAAGGAATAACTACTTGCCTTTCAATATTAGTGGAATCGTTGTCATAAAGGTGGGCGATGAGGATTGTGATGGTATATAAGTCTTGGTTAGGTGCAACTATACTAATATTATTTTGTTTTTTCGACAGTTGCTTTGTGTTGGCAGTTTAATTGTTTTCATAAAGAATGATAAAATGGTAAGAAATATAAAAACGTATAAATCCAGTGTTATTTGATTATGCTCTGGATCCGATTGTTTTGCGTAGGTGCGGGTGTGTGCGCAGAATGCTATCCTTTGATGTACCATATTCATTTATTTACGACAAAAACCGATAATTGCTCATCTATGCCCATCCGCCAACTAGTCGAAAAGTTTAGTAGCGTCATTCCAAATGATTTGCACAACTGCTTATTTTCATGACAAGTAAGATATATTAGTATAGAAGCATGTCTTTATTTCTCTTTTTCTTTTTATTCAGCAGCCACTTAAGTGTAAAGTATATTGACCACCTCGAGTGCATTAAAAACTGTACAATAAATACGAAACTTTTGTTGCTAATTGCTTTATAAATATTTTTGCAATTACATTTAATGCTCTCTACAAGAACCTCTCTGAAAACAAAGATACTATATCTTGCTTTAATTAGAACTATGGATGATTAATTAGCATGAACAACAATATTCTACTGTATATATATAATTTCTTAAAGACTACGAGGATATCTGACTCTGAGTATCACATATACAAGTACTCTTTTTTTTGGTTTTTGGCTTAAATTAAATACAATAGAAGCTGTTAATAAAAGAAGTTAATAGAAAAAACAAAGATAAGTATTTCTATACTGTCAAATATATACAGAGTTCTGTCGAGTACTATCGTAGTTACTATTTTATTTTTTATTTTATTTTTTGAATTCAAGACATTAGAGCTACAAAGTACTTGTGGCGTCCATTATAATACCTTGGGCTGGTAATATAAAACGAAACTCACTGGTATCGAGAGCTATATCATTACGAAAGAGTAAAATGCGTACTTAGGGATGTACCTTGTCGTACTTTCCCTGCCTACTTTACACTCATGTTTTAATGATAATTATCGTTTATTTCTGTACTTTGGTAATTAATATTTTATATATATATATATATACCAACGCCTTTTTTTGTTAAATATTTAAATTGAAAGGATTGTTCTAACACAAAGGTCGGATGTTTGACTGTCGAGACGTGACCGAAACTTACAAACAATTAGTGTGCTAGATGTACAATTAATAATGATATTTATAATATTATGATCAATCTTACTCAGGGGTATTTTAATCAAGATTATTACACCCAAAAGTATTTTACTCAAAAATATTAAATGCACCCAACACGTGTTATACTTTTATATTGAACACTATTTGAATAGTAGTTAAAACATTGCTGCAACGAATTGTCAAGCATCGATAGCTAGTATAACCCTTATTGTCATTATATTAAAAGAGATATATAAAATTCAATTTGTAATTCTTACTAATAGAGACCGTAAGCTTAGTAGAGTTAATTAAATTGATAATAGACTGATATATCTCAATAACCAAGACCAAAAAAAATCGTATAAAACATATTTTTATTTTATTTTTATTATCGTAGATAAAGGTACTTCTTCTATTAGATTTCCTGAAACCGCCACATATAGTATACTTTTTTGAGAGAAGACGAACCTTTTCAATTTGAGGAAGAGTATGATACTGAGACACCACTATCGTCATTTGACAATAACTATCCGGATTAAAGTGAGGAGTCCAACGATGAGAATGAAGCTGACATTGTCGGTGTCATAGTATTTAAAGATACGATGGATTCAGGTATGCACCTATTGAACAAAGAAATATACATAAATTATGTTACAGATAATAATGATACTTATCATAGCACTTGCCTTTTTGTAATCCCATATTTGAAAATGGATAGTATTCCTCAAGTCACTCAACTAATGGCTCTATTTGGTGTTGTCTTTCAAGCGTCTTACTTATTTCAAGCAAGGGGGATCTTCAACACTGAAATTATCCCAGCACTCTCTTGCTACCTATGAGAAGGATACTGATCCACATGTCACCGTTGATGTATCGAAAATCATGTCTGGATTCGATCTTATGAAAAAAACCGTCTTCAAGTACACCATCTGTATCAAACGTGATGTCATATACTTACCAGAGTATCATCAATCCAACTGTTCCTCCGAGAAGCACATTACTCCCCATCTATCTATGACATTAATTCTCTGTATGCCGGTCCAGCAATTGAGAAGCCAGTCCCTCTCATAGTATTTATTTACAGCTTACTGAGAAAATATCTTGTCGCAACATTTCCACAAAGTCAAGTCAGATGAGTAATTCGTACACTAGGGATCAAGCAAGACAATAGAAAGTACGACGACGGACGTATACGATGATGCAATTTAGACTAATATGCTCGGTGCAGCCGACGAGACCTTTGTAAATCATGCCCATTCTCTCATGTTGACATTGAATGTATATTGGTTTAAGCTGTTTGAAGGCCGGACTTATACAGGCAGTGCTTTGTATTTACTTAACAGCAATTTCCCCAAGGAAGACCAAATGAAACCAGAAAATATTATCCTCGTTGATGTCATGTCTGGTTCAAAGGAAGTAGAGGACGCCTAGATGGACATATTTCTGGAAACATTTGTTGATGGGATGGTAGACTGTTATGGTGGTAAAGCTGTGAAGACTATCAAGTTCCCTAATGGTACTACTGTCTATACTGCTATCATGTATGTCGCTTCCGAGATACCTGCTGCTAGAAATACTGCCGGATTCACAGAACATGGCATGTAAACACATATGGCTGTCATAAATTCAAACGGTATTTCTCCGTAATTACTGCATCAAGTAAGATAATTACTTTGGGTGTGACAATGAAAACTGGGCATCACGGACAGAAGAGATGATTTCCATACATGACAATATGTGGTTTTGCATAGAATCAGATGTAAAAAGAGAAAATTTGGAGAAGCAGAGCGGCATGCAGTTTTCAGAGTTGCATCGCTTACATGATTGTTGATCTCACGCACAATATATTTCTTATGATAGCGAACCGTATGGTCAGTGTTTGAAATGGCTTTGTATTTTTCCGCTACTGTTATTGCTCGTATACAACGCTTTGCTGATGATATTCCTCTTCCTCCTGAATATACCGTCTTATTCGAAAAAGTCACGCCTTAGTTCCTATATATGAAGGCAGGTGAGTGGCGATCGTTGTGTCTGGTGCATTTTCTGGTGGTGTTGAAGGAGTTTTTGCCCAAAAGTGATTAAAATAACTAGACCAATCTTGCCAAGACATGCCGAAAGTTGAAAGGTCCATTGAACAAGTACTTACATATAGCCTACGCAGGCCAACCCCTTGGTAAATTTGGGGAATAATGTCAGAGTATTTACGAAAAAAAGGAGTAGCACACCAAATATGCATTTGTGTGAGTTGATGCTTGACTTTGGTCCGGTCTTTACATTTTGGATGTATAACCTTAAGATATACAAGTATAAGTTAAAAAAAAACATTAAGACAAACTACCGTAATGGTCTAGAGGTAACATTAATGAGCGTTTTTCCGGAGAATGCGTTCACTGACACTTTTCTTCCTGTGTATTCCATTAATCTTCTGCTGCGTATAATAAGATTTTCCTAAGGCGTCGCACAAGTGCTATCTGAATCTCATCTACCGTGTCTTCAGTGTATTGATAATGATTATCCTCCTGCATTGCCATTCGACCTCCAGATGTTCCAGCAAGTCGTCAACAGCCTATGGTACAATGTAATCGGAACTAAGACGTCGCCACCAACTACCATGCCATTGAAGTTACAAAATTTGAATGCGATGAAGTATGATTACTCTTAATTGCTATTCAAATTCTATGTCAAGGCTTACCAGAATAATTTTCTTTCTGCGGTGTGGGGAGTATTTCACTTGGTGAGAATGTGCTGGTAAACATTTGCATTCAGAAGATGAAGAATATTTCGTTGCTTGGCCAGGAGTTCTTTAGTGAACAGAAGAAATATCGCAGCTCAATTGTGCGGGTTATGTTTTTTTGGTAGGATAGTTGACGACATCTCTAAATTCCCTGGTCAGATTGAGTACATATTTACTTGTCATCAAGATTGGTAGAATCAAAAGTGTCAACGTTTGGTATTTTAAAAAGATTTGCGACATGCCATTCTGTTAGGATTAAGCCGTTAGTTGGGTAAGGTCTGAATTTGTGGGTGAGTGGGTTTATTAAGAAGAGTATTGCGTGCATCATCCTGGTGCATCGTCTGCATTCGTATTTCGCGTTGACTACGCACAACATCCAGGGTGGGATCCAAAAGCGCCTAGTCATCCCACTGCCTAGAAAAGTGGTCACGAAAAAAAATAGAATGATTTATATTACTAATATAAATAATTATAATAAGAGTTTTTTTGACTGCGAAAGGGTTTGCCTTTATTTATCTCTCTATTTTTCTTTTGTTTTAGCATTGCTTCTTTATCAAATATTTAAAATTATATTGAATTCTATTATCAACGAATAGTAAAAACCGTTATTTATTTTTATTGTTTTTATCAAAAGTATGAAAGACAAAATACCTGTATATTTAATACCCAATGCCCACCATTTTCTTAGCTTTTATCAAAATAAACTTACAGAGAGCGATATTACAATTTCCAACGAAAAAAACCGTGGATAAAACAATCAAGGTTATGTAATTAAATAATTGTTTTGTATATATATATTTCATTAATCGGCTGTAAAATAAAGTGAAATAAAATAAAATAACTATTTATTTATTACTTCCCATCTTGACATTACTACCGCATCATCTTTTATCGATTCAACCTACATCTTTCGAAACAATGAATAAAAATCAATAAAATACTATATACTCTGTATTTTTTATTACTGCCGTGCGCTATTCCATGCAACAACACGCACCTTTCTCTCCTTCAAAAGTTCGACGTTTCTTGGAATAGCTGGACACTTGGAAAAGCTAATGACCTTTATTCTTTTTGATCATTTCTCCGTCCTTTTAACTTGCTAAAGTATTCTTTGATCTGTGTTATAATATCAGCAATTAGGAATTCTAAATAAAAAAATGACACTCCTTTGTAAAAAAAAAATGTTAAAATTATTTGAACAAAAACCGTAGATTATACTTACTCTTATCTTTCTTGTTTGACAACGAGAAAACCGATTACGCCCAGCTAACTTTTCTGACAAGGATTTTGCCCTGTGAATTTTATACGAAAGGTGTCTACGAGCTTTCTCTTCCACGACTGAAGACAAAACATACTCTACTTCAGGCTGCATATGGATGTAGCTCTGCACCATGCTAACAATTGGGCAGTTAGATATCGAGAAGGTACCCTCATCAATATTCAATGGCGTAGCTGTCATAACTGCTTGTGTTTGAGAACGGATCACACTGAAAAAAAAAGGGTAGAAATTACAATGCGCACAGTTGTTTGATAACAATCGAAAATGTGGGATAGGTTTCCATGTTCACAAGTTGAAAACACATCTTTACTGTATTCTATTGGCTCGGATATAACAAGCAACAAAAGTTATTCTATTTATTATTATAAAGACTTTGTGAATAAAGTATATGTAGCACCTGTTTCCTTTTTCTCAAATTTTTTAACAAAAAACACAATGTTTTCAACCCCTCAACCTTACAATAAAAAGTGCTATTGCGCTGGATGTAGTCAGAACGAACTAGTCTATAGTTTTGTAGCCGGAAGAACTGCTCAGCGCCATAACAAAAGAGCAAGATTAGATGCTATAAGATGTGAAAGTGGTACGCAGTTTGTAGTATTATTCTATTATATTCTACTTTTTTTGTAGTTCAAAAAATAACATGTTTTAACAGAATCTTCTGCCCATAGAAATTCGATGGAGGTTGATGTTGAACGTAGGAAATATTTATTTAAATAAAAATAATAGAGCGTAATTATGTAACATATTCTAAATACAGCCATTTAAACATGTCAATCCAGAACCACGGAAGAAGAGTGTGGTCAGACCAACTTACTTGCTTGGGAAGGAACCCCAGTGTCTGACGATGAGAATGTTCCAGTTACGAATGAGGAGATTCACAACAGCAAAGACAATGGCGATGAAAACAAAGAAAACAATAATGAAGATGTTGTTAAGGTGGAGGTCGAGGAATTTGTTAATGAAGGTTGGTGTTGTGCTATGGAAGAAAGAAAAATTTGAAAAAAAGGGAGATGATTTTTTTTTTGGTTTTTTACAATAGATCCTTTTGCCCCCCCCCCCCCC